GCTGTTCCACTGATTAATTGTTCTAACTGTCAGGAAATTTCTCCTCAGTTCTAAGTTGCTTCTCTCCTTGATTAGTTTCCACCCATTGCTTCTTGATCTGCTCTCAGGTGATAGTTTGACTCTCTCTTCTTTGTGGCAACCCCTGAGATATTGGAACACTGCTATCATGTCACCCCATGTCCTTTTTTCATATGTTCAGATAGTAGTAGCAAAGATAACATTTTAGTTTACTTAAAAAAAAATCAAATATTACACCTCTGGTAAAGAAAAGCAAAATGTTACCTATCAGCCTCCTGAACTATTTGTAAACCAAATTCTTTAATTTGACTATATATCTGTAAATTTTATATGTACAATGTAGACCTATTTTAGCACTCAATAAGTTTAGGAGAAATTCCTAACCACATTTTTTTTTCAAAAACACTCATTTTTTTTCTTAGCACTATTTTTTTTCCTTAGCACTTAATCTAAGCAGTTATGTTTTTAAATGGTACCACTGCATTGGTATCTTATTAGGGCTTTTTATTCTTTTCATTGTGAAGAACATGATTCCTCTTGAAGATTCTGGCATAAGATTTCATGTTTACTAAGAGGAACACAAATTCTTTCACTGTAAAACAAAGACATGAGTTGGAGATATACAGTGTTCCATAATTGAATTTGTATAAACTACACATTAAAAATTTAACACTTTGAAATATTAGAATAATGGTTCTATACAAGTATACAAAAAAATTCCTGTTTTATATTGGAGAGAACCCATCAATATACTACTTTTTCTAATAAACTCTTTTTCTTATAACTGTTTCTTTGTAAAATGGAGACATTTGAGGAATCTGGTAAAGAAATATCTCTGAAAGGATGATCCAAGGAGTCATGGGTTGTCTAGTTGTATATAGTATATAGACAACCTATGATCTTGTCAATGAAACCAAACCGAAAACCAGTGTTTTATTGTTCTCTTTGCTCCTTCCAGCTGCTATATCTACAGGGGTTGTGGGGGGAGGGAAACCCAGCTTCAAAATACTGGCCATTAATGTTTGGAATTTTAGAGCCCTAAAGTTAAAACTTATTTGCTATCAGATACTACCCTGTTTCCCCCAAAATAAGACAGGGTCTTATTTTCTTTTGACACCTGAAATAAGCGCTTGGCCTTATTTTGGGGGAGGTCTTATTATTTTTGAGGTGCAGGAGGCGGCGAGCGTGGTCACCTCATGGCTGCTGCTGTGTTGCAATATTTTCGGGGAGAGCTTATTTTCAGGGGAGGGCTTAATCTAGTGCATGTGCTCAAAAGCCTGATTGGGCTTATTATCCAGGGAGATCTTATTTTCGGAGAAACAAGGTATATGTAAGTGTCCTAGGAAATAAATTTGGACTTTATTTTTTGATAGGTTTTTAAGTCTATACCAATCTCTCTAAAGGAGGAAAACAAAAAAATAAATAAGATGGCAAGAACTGCAGACTCATTCAGCAGAGGAATGTATGATTTGATGTAGCAATGGCATATTTCACAGCAGCAATACTCCTGTTCAGGGCATGTGAGAAATGTTTTGGGCTGCAACAGGTGGAAAATATTTTGAAATGTCACAGATCCTATTTTGATTCTCATCTAATTTGGTCAAGAATTAATGTTTTTAACTGCCTCATTATGTAATTAAGATCTCCTGTCCAGGGGTGGGATTCACAGAAGTTTACTACTGGTTCGCAAATATGAGTGTGCGTGCCTTCCACGCCTGTGCACGGGCTTCTGCACCTCATGCATGCGCCTTCAATGCATGCACTTTGTTTGTGTGTGGCATCACTACATAGGACATCAGGTCACCACTATCGGTTCACCCGCACCAGTCCTAACTGGCTGGATACCACCTCTGCTCCTGTCCCAATAAACAAGCATTGCTGTATGATGTATTCATTGGTGCATATACTCTGTGAACACAGTCCATAGACTGTTAGATGAGTTTATCAGTGGCTATTCAGAATTTCTATTTATTTGAACCTAAGAGGGACCTGATGATCTAGAGCGCAACTGTTTTGTGCATTAAGGGTTTTTTTAGACATCCTATGTCTTTCCTTCCATAGCCTTGTCGAAAAGCAACAAGCCAGTCCACACCATTATCCTGAATCCCCACGTCCACCTGGTAGGGGATGATGCCGCCTGCATTGCATATATCCGACTGACACAATATATGGATGGAAGTGGAATGCCCAAAACGATGCAGTCAGAAGAGACAAGGGTTTGGCACCGCCGTGATGGAAAATGGCAAAATGTTCACTTTCACCGTTCAGGATCACCAACAGTACCTATCAAGTGAGTAATGGATTCATGTCCCCTCATTGCAACTCTTCTACTGTCAGATAATTAAAGCCCCACATTTACATCACCCGTGATTTGCATATTATTTTTCACTAGGGCTCTGCCCTGAGCAGCTCACAACATTAAAGAATTAAAATAAATAGATTGTAATAAAATCAGGTATACTTCCATAGGCATGAATGCAGTGTCATTTTGCATAAAATAAATGACACTGAGTCAGTGGGAATTAGCAGAATTAGGGGCATATTGGATGTAGCCAAGCAGAAAAGATCGCAAGAGTAATTTCCACTTTGTATGTATCTTACGTTTATCAAATCAGCTTTGGGAAAGATGACAGTTGTTTCTTAGAATTTGCTTCAGTGAATAGTTCACAGATTCAAGAACAGAACGGAGTTGACTAGGCTGTAACAGATGAATGTTCTGATATTAATTTGGCTGTGGAAATAAGTACAAATTATGACTTATTGTGTCAACAAATGAACAAAAATCTGTGACCTCCATCTGTTCCATAGCTTTGGGCTATTTAAAAAAAAAAATTAAGCATCCCATACCATAACATAACCCTTCAAACCAAATATCCAGGTAAGTCTTGCCAGAAAGTACCAGAAATAGGAGAAAGCTTTGCAAAGATAAATTGAGGTTTAAGCTGATGAGGTTCATCAGTGAACTGCAATGATTTAGAATGTTGTATTTGAGCTTAAAGGTAAAGGTTCCCCTCGCACATATATGCTAGTTGTTCCCGACTCTAGGGGGTGGTGCTCATCTCTGTTTCTAAGCCAGAGAGCCAGCACTGTCTGAAAACGTCTCCATGGTCATGTGGCTGGCATGACTAAACATCAAAGGCGCACAGGACGCTGTTACCTTCCCACCAAAGGTGGTTCCTGTTTTTCTATTTGCATTTTTACATGTTTTCAAACTGTTAGGTTGGCAGAAGCTGGGACAAGTAACGGGAGCTCATTCTGTTACATGGCGGTAGGGATTCAAACCATTGAACTGCTGACCTTTCAATCAACAAGCTCAGCTTCTTAGCCACGGAGCCACCGCATCTCTGTATCTGAGCTTAGGTTGTTCTAATTAGAATACAATGTTCTGTTGAATAACCTTCATATTCATTCCTGGCTTCCTAAATAATGTTCAGGAAGGACCTAACTTCAGTTCACACATTTCTAATTTCTTATCATAGTCAGGAAGTGGTGGGTTTACAATACCATAATGTTGATTCAGAAATGACACCACCAATATTAATAAAATTGAATTGGTTGTCTGAATAGGATGTAGATTATTACTGAATAATTACTAATGCAAAAAAATAATTATCTTGTACAAACAAATCAGTTTCCCCTAATTTGTTAAAAAAATATAATTGAATATAAATATTTATATTCAATATCAGTATTTGAAGAAAAAAAATAGGCTTGGCATTTGATTTATTTGGGTCTTTTTAATGAACAATAAAAATAATTAAGTTTGTTTGAAAATTACCCCCAGGATTTATCACAGAATAATTAATGAATTAATAATTAACTCCCTCTTCTCCCCCCCTTTTTTTCTCTCTTTCTCTGTGTCTTTCTCTTTTCTTGTTGTCTTTTAGCTAAATGTCAGCGCTGCCCACGTTGTGTCCACGCACTCCGCACTTGGTTGGCTCCCCCCGGGCCATCCTTTGGCTCTCTTCATGCATGTTCTCCGAGTGCATGAAGCTGTGAAGTTTCTTCAAGTGATATGTTTATGATTGCATCATTTTGTTGTATATTCCATTGATAGCTTTTGTTTACCCTTCATTGAAGGAAGTGTTTCATGGCAGATGGAAAAAGAGGTACAAGGGTGAAGGGAAAAGGGAAAAATTGAAATACAAGAGTATATTCAGATTATACATCTCCAGCAAAAATACAAATATCATCTCTGCATGTGCACCCTATAAAAACAAAGGTTAAAAATAATTAACTTTGCTTTATTTTTTATTCTTTTCTGAGTCATTTGTTTTTAAAGGTTGTTGCCTAATCCTTGTGTTAAAGGAGGATTAATTGAATTCCTACTAACAGCATCTTTAATGTAGGATGTATGGTAGACATAGTGACTTAGATCAAAGCATTTCTATAGGTTGGAGGTCTTGGGAAGTTGCCTTTGCTGTGATTCACTATGTATAACTGGAAAAAAAAGGGACAAAACTTGCAGATTTGACTTCAACAAGAATAATTGTCACTGCGGTCATTTGTTCAGCAAATGTAAAAGCAAATAGGTTTTTTTCTTTCTTTTCTAATTGCTTATTTAGCATCATTTTCAGGAAAAAAAATAGCATTTCTAGCTTTCAGAAGCCAGTGAACAGATTCAATATAGCTTCTGATAATATAGATTATGGGTACAATAAAACTTTTTTTAATCATTTTTTGGATGTACAGTACATTTATTAAAGCAAGATGTAGAGGATTTTTTAAACTGATATTCTAATAAGATAATGTAGCAATCTAGAACAATTAGATCTTAAGAGCTTAGTATGAGGAGAAGTCTAAATTTTCTTTGTATCAATTTATTACTGGGAAACACCTGTTTTCTAATAATGTTGTCAAATTTAGCAGTAATTTATCCATTTTACATGGCTTGTTAGCCTTGAAAGTATAAAATAAATCAATAATTGTAGATTTATTAATTTCCCCATTTTCCTATATGTCAAATGTCCCTCGAATGTCAATTATTGCATATATACCTGCAATACAAGTAGTTAAAACACATTATTTGGATAATATTTGTTTGCTTTTCTTGTATAAATATAACATTATATTTCCAAAAGTACTGCTCCTTCTATTTCAGTTTTTTTAAAAAAATGTATTAATACTTTTCTTTCTTATTAAAGTATTTTTCTTTCATTAAGTAGGGCAATCAATTTTCTGTAACTCTGTTTAGCGCATGATATTTTGATTAATATTCCTTTTGGTAAGTAAAAATTTACAACTTATAACAGCTTGAAAAAAATGTAAAAACAGAGGGGGGGAAGTCCCAATTTGTATAACTTTCATTTCTCTATACTGATTATTAATCAAAAGTGGATTTTATTCTTTATATCTTGATGTTGTAAACATTATGTTAGAAAAAATTAAGCTTTTCTGGTGATAGTTATTACATACTTTCAACCCACAGAAGTATGTAGAACAATCAACAGTAAATGTCTCAAGCCATATTAATCTGCTAGTGGGATTTTTGAAAAGATAATGGCCTCATGCATAATTTTTATTAATAAATTTCTTCTTTTGTGAAACAGATTTAGGTGGCATTAGTATATTTTTTTGTTACGGAAATATGGCATATAATTTTTTTTACCCTTTTACCATAGCATGCGGTGATGCCATATTATTCTAGATCGTCTGTCTTCCACACTAAGATGTGAGAAATATAATGTGAGTTAGTTCTCTGCACTCCACCTGAATTATACATCTAATTTTTGCCATTTTAATACACTGCAGTTTACTATGAGACAGTGTATAGGTATTTGTGTGTTTATACATATATATGTCTCTCTCTGTGTGTGTACACATATATATGTGTATATACATATATATGTACATATATGTGTGCGTGCGTGTATCTATATATTGATATATTGATATAGATATATAGATATATATATATATCTCCTGCCATAATGGTAAAGAACTGACAGATATATTTAAAAATTAATAAATTTGTGATTTATGCTGACATTTGATGCTTCATTGTTTTCCTTTGAGATTGCAGGCTTCATCATTCGTTACCTATCATTTACTACCGAAATGACCATTATCATGAAGGATTGAATGTATTGGGGCTAGGCAAGGTGATTTGAATTCAAAATATTTTGCACTGAAATAATAGTTGTTTCGAGTTTAAAATAGCATATTCTCTCTTCCCAGAAATGTTATAGAAATTGCTATACTCTTCTATCCATTCCAGAAATATTTTGAACATTGCTATGTTATTTTACAAAAGTATCAGTGGCAGTACTCCAGTTTGTGGTTAAAGAATCCATGTCATAGATCGGGGGTGTCAAACTCGCGTCATCATGTGACATATCATTACTTTTTTCCCCTTTGCTAAACTGGGCGTGGGTGTGGTCAGCACGTGATGATCCAGCCCACGGGCCATGAGTTTGACACCAATGTCATAGATTTTTTTTAAAAAAACTTATTTCAAACAAATGCTATTAGTGGTGTTATTATAATGTACTGCCATCTGGTAGGCTATCTTCTAGTAGTGTTCCGAGAGTTGGTGTCAGAGCACTATAAGCCTAAGATTTTTTGTTGCTCTATACTAATTATTCTGCACACTTTATTAGTGACTTCTATTGGGGTTAATTTTGAATAATATAAACAATGTAGATCATTTTTCAGTGCTGCAAAAAATACCTGTGAATGCAATGACCTATTCAAAGCTTGGTTTAATAGGTTTCAAGATAGCTACTCTGATAGGTATTTCCATAACAAAAGCTAATGAAAGCCAGTTTTCACTGATATTTTAATTGAAGACGTGCTATTTTTTTTAAAGGGGAGATTTAATTTATCACATGAATTGATTAAATTTACCTATTAATTATATTTGCTACTTTAATTTTATATTTACTTAGCAATAGCGGGTATATGGGGGGAAACGTGGTATGCTTTGAAAAGATGGATAAAGATTCTGGTTAACTTATTCTAGTTTTCAGTTTTCAGAACCAGTATAATGGTTCAGTGTGATTCTAGTGGTGAACTGGCTCAGGTTTGAGTTCATCCTTAGCCAATGAAAACTTAGATGAATAGAATAGAATAGAATAGAAAAAGAAAAGAAAAGAAAAGAAAAAAAAGAAAAGAATTCTTTATTGGCCGAGTGTGATTGGGCACACAAGGAATTTGTCTTTGGTACATATGCTCTCAATGCACATAAAAAGACAGGATACATTCATCAAGAATCATAAGGTATAACACTTAATGATAGCCATAGGATATAAATAGAGCCGAGGTGGCGCAGTGGTTAGGGTGCAGTACTGCAGGCCACTTCAGCTGACTGTTATCTGCAGTTCAGCGGTTCTAATCTCACCGGCTAAAGGTTGACTCAGCCTTCCATCCTTCCGAGGTGGGTGAAATGAGGACCCAGACTGTGGGGGCGAGATGCTGACTCTGTAAACTGCTTAGAGAGGGCTGAAAGCCCCATGAAGCGGCATATAAGTCTAACTGCTATTGCTATAAATAAGCAATGATCTAACAAATAAAATTAAAAACAAAAACTATTGTGCTTTTTAAAAAATAGATCCTTGCCAAAGAACCCATTCAGTTTTTCCAGAGTATGCCCTATGCCTCCTATATAGATAGGTTCATTTGATTTATATCCATCACAATTAAAAAGTTCATCAACTATTGCCATTCATCCATCAAAATACTATCAAATGCCCATGATATAAATGGTAGGCTGAATTTGGCTGGATACAATACCTGTAGTCTGATCTTTGGATTTTTCCCCAAGTAGAAATGACCACGATCCTACTTGCTGGCATACATCATCTATGAGATCATTTACCACAACACCCCTGCTTTTATTAACAGCAATGGCAAAATTGTTTTACTTTCACACTCAGCATTCATAAATTAATGAATCCATCTGTTTTTCATTTTGTTTTCCCTCCTTTCCTGGAAGCCATTTGGCTCTTTTATTTGATTCTTTTAGCTTGCCAAATGAATAATACATTGTTTTCTTTTCAGAATTTATGGAGAATTTCTGCAAACACTTCATATCAAATCAAGTACTTGTAATGGGTTGCATTCAGTTTATGGCTGACACGAATGTGTGAAAAATAATTTACAAAAAGGATCAGTTTTGAAGAAAGTAAAGAGAATGCAGAATTGCTTATACTTAAATTGATGGTCGGTGTCATATTTTCCATTACAAATTTACATTCATTTTTTCTTTGGCCAGATAAATATGTTCTAAGCATGTCAGAGCCATTTTTGATCTAGTTAAGGCAAGGGAGTTCAAGTCTCACCTTAGACATGGACACTAGCTAAGTCACTCTATCTTTGCGCAACTCATCTCTCAGGATTGTTTTGAAAAGAATAGGAAGATAAAGGAATATATGTTTGTCACCTTGAATTATTTATCAAATTAATAAAGATGTGATTAAAAAATGGTCTTGTCCCACAACAGGAAGGTAAAACTCCAAGCTCCAAAAGAGAATGATGATGATATTCAGGGTTTTGTTTAATTCCTGATTGTCTCCAGAAGCTGAATCATGTATTATTTAAGAAAACTTTTTTTCTACGTTTCAATTCCACATCTCTTCAGGGGAAATATGTAGAATAAATGAATATAAATTATCCTATGCCAGACCACAGGCTGATGAAGAAAGAGTGTGGTTCACCAGTGCTCTTATTTAAATATGATTCCATTGACATAATTTAAAAAAAAGTCACCCTGGAATACACTCAAAATTTAATCAGTAGAAACAAATGTTTTATGGCTTAGTCTTACTTGAACTTTAAAAGGATATTCTTTCAGAGTCTCTCCTGTCTACTCATTCTGCCAAATGTAATGTCGGGAGAATTTCTGCTTCTGCTTTCCGGATATAATCGATGCTGCCTTCCTAAATGCCCTGCCCTTTTTTGCCCTTCTCTGATACAGTAAAATGAGAATACTAGGGATATGAACATAGATCCTCGGGGACAAGAAGTTGTGTAATTCCAAACAAAAGCAATAAATCTTATGAAACAACCTACTGTCTCTACTTATTCATTTCTGTAGGCTTAATTTTGATTTCAGTTGGGCAACCAAAGTAACTTGTCAAAAGAAGATTGTTTTTAAAAAGGCCAATCGTGAAAGGAAAAACTCGCTATAAAAATTTCTCAGTATTTCATGTTTTTTAAAAAAGAAAAATGCTTATTTTTTTCTTCTTATATGTGTAATGGTTGAATGTGGTTCAGGAAGATATTCAAATTTCCATTTGACTGCTTCAGTCAGTGGACACTCTGGGGCAGTCTCTCATTGCAGCAGGAACGTCTTGCTAGATCAAGGGTGTCAAAGTCAAGACCTGCGGGAAGAATCTGGCCCATGGGGTGCTTTGATCGGGCCCGCAGAGCCATCCTGAAAACAGTGAAGGACCAGCCCATGGGGGCTCTGCCAGCGAAAATGGAGCTTGGGAGGCCTCCCAAATTCCGTTTTCACTGGCAGAGGGTTGTAGGAGGCCATTGCAGCCTGAAACGGAGCTCGGGAGCCCTTTTTCATTGGCAGAGCACTCATGCCACCACAGATGACCCCAACACGAGTGATGTTGAGCAGGCATGCCCATCCTGGCCACATCCAGCCCGGCCCCCTGAGATCAAAGAACCCTGATGCGGCCCTCAATGAAATCAAGTTTGACACCCCCATGCTAGATTATTCAAGGCTCTTCATGTATTCTTTCAATTGTCAGAGAAGAGGCAAGATATATCTGTAAAAAAAAATGAACGGTCCTTTTTGTTATGTGCTGCTTTTACTGTTAGTTTAATGTCTGAATCCACCTTGAAGTATTTTTTTTAAAATCACATTTGATGCTCATTTGGGCACTTACCAACAGCCTTTGCTCTTTCCAGTATTTCTGTACTACATTGGAGAGAAGCAACAGCAAGAAAACAGGATCTACCAATTCCATTTGCAAAATATGTGTTTCTGTTGTTGTGTTGTG